ACCTCACACCATAGGTGCTGGAGATGGGTATACACACACAACACACACTAACACACCACCACCACGTCAGTGTTACTGCAGTGCTGAGAATGATCCACCACCCAAATAGTACCTGCTCTGTGAGGCTCCATGGGGGTCCCGACCACTGAAGAACGGGGTAAAAGGGGGCTAACAAAGTATGCAGAGAAACAGATGGACTACAGTCTGTAATTGTAGAATAATGTTATGCCTGATCGGTGTAAGTAAACACATCCCCCATAAGGAACAGATATAAATATGGTATATGTCTGCATATTTTAGTGCACAATTCCTGTTTTTAACATATTGGGAAAAAATCAAACATAAAATATAAAATAGAAAACAGTAATTGTGCATTAAAATGTGCAGATGTGTTTCACCTTTGTAAGTCCAGGTATGCACATCATGAGCTAATTTTTCATGTATTTTAGGTTTAAGCCATAACCACTTTCTGTTTGTCATTTAAAAGAAGGTATTCAAAAACTGTTAAGAATCACTGTCAAAGCCAAGGTATGATATCGGTACTGGAAGCAAACCATTCTGAATGACACTCAGCCATGATTCAACTGTGACAAAAAAAAGTTTCAAAACTGGCTTTTTTTTTCCACATATGCTTCTCTTTGTGACCGTTTATGTACCGGAAAAGTCATCCTTCATTTTACATGACCATTTTCCAACCTTTTAATTACAATTAAACAGGCTGTTTTTGTTACTGTGCTTTTAAGACGGATATATCATCACTGTCCAAAGAAAACCAAAATCTTTATTTTTGTCCATTTTTATTTTCTACATCATTTCAGCACACCTTCAGCTGTCCTTTATGTAAATTTCATGAAGAATGGACCAATAGAAATGCTCTAAAATCACTTGGAATAAAACCTCTTTACATTAAATTACACTGAAAGGTAAGAGTGTTGTTGCCTTCTCCTGTAAAGTTACTATTTTGAAGATACCTGTTTTTCTTTGGACAGTGTCGATATGTAAATGACTTCTGTTGTGACTGCCCCTGTATTAAGCCTCATTCAAAACGAAGTTCAGGACGAAACACTGCTCATAACTTCAGCATGAATGGGGGCGGCTGAACTGCTGTAGGCTAAATAGGTGTATATATGTAAAAAGTGTATTTGGAGACATCATAAAAACAAAGTTGTTGCAGCTTAGTTTCCATTTATGGACAGTATAGTCTGAGGAATGAATGGTACATTTTGAAACTTCAACAGTATTAATATACTACATTACACTGTTTTATTTCAAGCAAGTAACTGTTTTTTTATGACATGGGCCCTTTAATTACAGTTGGCACTTTGACAAGACTGAACCCATTATTTACAGGCCTCTAATAAGGCTTTCTTATGTACCTTCATGACATTTGTAATTTTACAAAGTGCTGACTGTAATAACCAGTGAAAGAGAGGGGGCGTGACTACCTTTCTTTCCACTCCTGGCAGCTCCATTAATATGCTTTTATTTATTTCTGTAGCTCAGGATTCAATTAGCATTCAAATTCCAGCACAGCATCTTCTGCCAAACACGTGACCCTTCGCCTCAATAACAAAACAACAGAGTCTGACAGCACACACCTACAGCAGCATTGAGAGAGCTGCGCCACGGACAAAGTCAAACAGACCTTCAAATCCCATATAGAAGACACCGATCGATTGCTAAGCAGCAGCGGCTGCTCTGGTGATAACACTCTGTTTACCCTCTATTTGCGGGTAAAGGACGGGGGGGATAGCAGCAGCTGCAGTGGTGCTGCGGTGATCCAGCCGATCCATAAGCTGGTTAATCACACGCTCTTGTGCCCCCGTGACGTATCCCCTGCTTCACCCAAGAATGCCTCAGCCCCCTCCTCATCCTTCTTGAATTAATGCAATCACAGGTCATCTTTTTCTTTTACGGAAGGTCATTCTTGTGTGTGTTATGGCTTTGAAGCTGTGCTGCTGGATTAGATTGGTAATAGTTGTTAAGAAGCAGCCTAATGTTTCAAATGAAGTGTGTTTTTTTTCTAATCATTGATACGTTTCTATCGTCTGCTGAAATCAAAAAGCAGAGGGTGGAAAATATTTGTACTGTGTTACACTTAAGTGCTAGTTTAAAAGATTTGTACTTTACACAAAGTGAATAACAACTGAATACTTACACTCAATTTTCACTTACATTTTCATTTTGACCTTCAAAATACTTCAAAGACCTGAGGTGTCATTTATCTATTGTGCATAGGCACAGGTGAACGTGTAAACCGTGCATATGTACCCTCTTTACGCAAGATAAAGCAATAAACCACATGTTGCACTGATTTTATCATGGGTAAGGCTATTATTAGATACAATGCACAGCAGATTAAACTTATCCACAGTAAATCGCTGTAACACACTGCCTTAAGTGGCTTATTCATTTTCTAAAACGATTGACAACATAAAATATGATAAACTACACAATTTTTACTATACAAAAACTGCACAGAAATAATTTATTATTAATAATAATTAATAATTCAGTTAAACAATTATTCTGCTAAGAAATGTAGTGCCTTTAGAGAATGTTATTGTTCCCAAGCAACAATGGATGGCTGAAAGAGGACAAGAACGGCAAAAAGTAATGCAAGTCTACAGGAAACACTAACTTCCAAGGAGTACACGCCACTAGAGCGGAGGCTTCAGTAGTCCACCCTAGGCTGGCATAGATATATAGGTCTACGGTTTTTATTTGTAAAATGTGATTTATTTAGTAATACTGCTAATCATTCATATGCAGAAAAACACCTAGAGGTAGAAAAGTGTGATTGCAGGTAAAATAATACCAAAATAATAACAATAAATAAAAAACAATAATAAAGGCAATATTGTTTAATCAGTTTAAATCTCATAAACACTTCAAACACTTCATCCTCTACCCTGTTCCACTTAATACAGTGTAGAGGTGTAGAGGTGCACATGAGTGACATAGATGACTGTTCATTTAGGTTCGTTGTAAATATAAAATAAAATCACATAAAAAAGACAAAGACTAACTGTGATGAAGCAAACAGCCGCTGACCACGCCTTGCTTGAAGCTTTGGCAAATGTGAGTCGCGCTGGGGGCATGTTCATATCAGAAATTCAATGTAAATAAGTAAAATAAGTAAAAGTGAAATTTGAAAAAAAAGTAAAAAAATCTCATTAAATTTTTTTTTTTTCCTGTCTGGGAATTTTGTTCAAGCATGTACAAATTTTTAGCCATTCCCAATTCATTTTAATGGAATAGTTTTTGCTAGTAAAAAGCTTTTTACAAAGTACCGACACTTCCCCTCAAGCATTATTTCTCTGCACATTTTCCACCCCTGCCTATAAGACAAGATCAAATGAGAATGTAAAGACCTATATGGATTGTCAATGGTCTGTATGCTGTTGAAGGTATTCAAGGTGTGTTATGCGCATACGCTCACTGTAGACTCTTCAAGCTCACAAAAGGAGAAAAGAGGTCATTCTAAACAATCAATGAGGTTTCTGGCTATATGCATTGCGAAATGAACGCATGAAAAAAAACAGAATATCCGTTTTCTGCATTCTTGCTTCAAAGGATGTCGATTTACACAACTTATTCAAGATTCAAGAAAATGACAGCTCACACATGGACATAGAAACGAAAGAACATTAAAGAGACAAGGTGGATATGAAAGGGAAAAAAGCTTTTCAAAGGACTACACATTTACACACACACACTCAATTCCAAAAAGACTGGAGCAGTATGTGAAATGCTAATTAAAACAGAAAACAGTGACTAGTGAATTCTGTGGGACCTGTACTTAACTGAAAACGTGCAAAAAATAGTGTGTACAGACGAAAAACACCGACTGATCACTCTTCCGTTCCGTCATCAGCTGCACAACTGTACAGGGCCTTAATAGTTGTATTTAGCATTTCATAATGCACCTCAAGTTTTCAAAGGAAGCCGGTTCTAGACTGCAAGCAGGCTAGCCTAACACCTGCTCTCTCTGACTATGCAGCCATGCTGTTGTAACACACACAGAATGTGGCTTGGAGCTGTCATGTTGAAATCAGCTTGTGCGTTCCTGAAAAAGATGTTGTGTAAAAGGCAGCATATGCTGCTTCAAAGTGTGTATGTATTTCTCTGGTGCCTTTACAGATGTGCCTGTGCCTTGTGCACTAACAGACCCCCACACCATGTCAGACTCTGGCTTTTGAACTTTATGCTGGTAACAATTTGGATGGTCCTTTTCTTCTTTTGCCCAGCGAAAACAGCATCCATTATTTCCATTAACAATCTGAAAGTTTGTCTCATCAGACCACAGTACAAGTTTCTACTGTGCATGGGTTCGTTTTAGATGAGGTTGAGACTAAAGATATCAAAGGTATTTCTGGGCGCTGTTAACATAAAGACTCCACTGTGCACAGTGCAGTCATAACTTGCATTTGTGGATGCAGAGAGGTACGACGTTTTTTAACTTAATGTCTGAGAGGTCGAAAGTCACAGCCATTCAGTTGCGGTTTTCGGCCTTGCCCTTTACGCGCAGAGAATCTTCTGATGGTATTATGCACTGTAGAGAGCAAAATACCTAAAATCCTTGCAATTGTTCACTAAGGAACATTGATAAAGTGGTGACCCTCAACCCACCCTTGTTTATAAAAGTCTTGGCTTTTCCTGGATGCTCCTTTTATGTTCAAGCATGATTGCATCACCTGTTTAAGATCATTTTAAACGTTTCACAAATGTTCCTAGTCTTAAGGTGCCTCTCTCTGCACTTTTTTGAAACACAATGCAGCCATTAGTTTCAGAAGCAGTGTATATTTGCAAAAACCAATAAAGTTAATAAGGTAAAACATTATTTATCTTGTCTCTAGACTGCTTTCTTCTAAATCCAGGTCTGAAGTGGATTTACAAATCACTGCTTTCTGGTTTTACTTGCATTTTACATGCTGTCATGTCTTTTCTGGAATGGAGGTTTGGACACACACAGATTACAAAGTAAATCAGTCGCTCACCTCTTCTGACCAAGAAGGGTTTGGTGTAGTCCCAACTGTCGTTGTCATTTCTGATGACGTTGAGGCGTGAGGGCTAGAATGAGGGAGGGAGAGAGAGAGCACAGCGGCAGTGCATGTGTGTTAGGCTCCACCGGTGGGTGTGTGTACGTGTGTGTGACTGTGTGTACGTGTGTGCAAGTGTGTAACTGTGTGTGTGTGTGAGCGCTGCAGATTTACCCGAGCGTATTCGATTTTCAGTGTGCAGCAGCCGGCGTATATGTCGGCTCCGTTGAGGGCCGCTTTGGCCTTCTGGGCGTTCTGGACGGATTCAAACGTGGAGGACAGGCAGTCAAGGAAAATCACAGCAAGTGAACTGCAACAAACACAGCATCACCTTACGCTCTTCTGCACTTCTACAATTGAACAGACGGGCAAGAAACAAACAGAAAAAGAAAATGCACATCACGCAACACCCAACTTTGTGAGTAGACCAAGGTGGACCATGTTGCAACAGAGATGCTCGCCATAGGAACTGACATTGTAGGATGCATGGTGACCGAGTAAGGTCAAAGCCAAGGGCAGCCGTCCACACACTTCACAAGACCATATGTGCAAGCCTCTATTCATAGAAGCATTTTAGTAAGTGGCCAGAGGCAGGTGGCTATACGCGCTGGGGGTCTTCCTGGTCTCAATCAAGTTTTTGGGCTGTAAAAAGTCCTCACTGCAGTAAAGCAACTGAAGCAACTACACCACAGTGTATTGACTACATAACAGAATTCTTACATTCATTTTGGTATGCTTTTCAAATGTACATAATTTCATACTTAATTACAGTTCCAAAATGAATTATGTTTACAGTCTGACAGTCTGCATTTCTTTTTTCAGTTTGTTTTGATATTAAGCACGAGCTTTGTTTAAAAAGTGCTTAAGAAAAGGTTGAAAGCCTAACAAAAAAAACGTTTGTGGTAGTCAATTGTCAAAGCTGTGCTTACATACTTTTTACCAGCACAAAAATGATATAACCACTATTGTACTGCTTTTAAATTCATAACTATTGAATTACTTCTGCAGTCACTGAAAGCATTCTGAATTCACTAGGACAAGAAAGGACATGAAAATGCAAAAAAGGAACAAATTTTCAAAAAACTTTGGCAAAAAATGACCAAAAATGTAACTTCAGATTTCATGGCACTCTTCAAAAACTGAAAATAGCATAAACTGGTTTCTGAAGTGAGCTATTACACAACATATTTTAAACTACACTTTCAAAAAGAGTTGGGGACAAAATTTGACATCAAGAAATGACAAAAATGACACAAAAATGTTTTTCTTTTAGCAAAACAAGTCTGTAGTTTCTGCAGTTTCAATGAGCTACAAGCTATTATTATAATGAAACTATCATGAGAAATTATTATAATGAGAAATAATCAATATTGAATTACGCTGTGCTTTTGCTATTGCTGCTGATAACTGCGAGCACTAAGTTCTAAGCACTAACTTTATCAGCATTAATGGTTAGGCTTGAGCCAGCTGTCCAAAGTCATACAGTGCACTGTTGTACTTTTTAAAAGCTGTTTTGATGAGTAACCTACTTGCACGTAACATGAGAGACAGAGAAATGGCTTGTTGATGAGCTTTTTCCTCCTCAGCGATTCAACTCAAAGTCATCTCTCTGTGGAGGAGGCCCGTCTCGTCAATGTCGTGCTTCAGTGTGTGTTGCCCTGGATACATCTATATTTGATGAGGGCCCTCAAACGCTGGAGAGGTCCTCATGCTGATCTAGCTTCGCAGCAGCAAGCGGTAGAGTAATGTGTGTGCGGGTGAACTGGGTGTGTGTGGGTCTGTACGCTTGAAGTTGAAGATGTCCACACGTGCAGTGTGAGTGACAGTGTGTGAAGATGCCTTTTTGTGTACAGGACTTGGGAATGTGATGTGATGCCACTGTGGCAGGGTTAGTCAGCCCAGGCTAGTTATGAATAACTGAACGAATCTTCCTTTTCGACCTGCTTTCCTTGACTTTGCCTGATCTGTAGCCCACAGCAAAGCTGACTAGCATGGCTACCAGATCAGAGATCAGGAAAAATTAATGAAAGCAGATAGGATAGTAAGTTTCAACTATGCAAATGCAGCTCTATTTAAATAGCACACAGGAAGCACTATAGTGATAAACATTGAGCTGAAGCTCTATATACACTCTACAGATGAACAGATCTAATGGATTACATCTTTCAGCATTTAGTGGATTCATCACGTTTGGTATCAGCTAACTATCACAATGTCGGCGTTAGAACAAAACCTTGTATCTCTGCTTTTGTTGTTTTTCTTTTTTTTTCACAGAATTAAAAAAAAACAAGTAGCTGTGTACACTGTGTCAAATTTTAATGGTAGATAATTCTTCAAAATTATTAAGAGTAAAATCCTGTAACATCAACTTACATTGAAAGTTAAGAACGTTTTACTTTCTCCTGTTAAGGTACTTTTTTGGAAGTACAAAGTTTTGTTCTGACAGTAATCATAAACTTGCTGTTTCCTGTTAAAAGGTACGAGATAAAGCAAGTTACGATGTGACTGGGCTAGTAACATTAGCTTGAGGTTTAGCAACTGGCATTTGTTTATCTTAAAGGCTTTAGATTAACAGCCCTTTCGGTGTCAACCTCAAGCCATAAATGATCATAATGATGAGTTTTAAGGTGATCAATATAGTACAGTAATAGTTTCATTAGTTCACTAACCACTTAGGTTCTCTAAAAGGTTAAGACTACCTACAGTGGAATATGCCAGCGGCTGAGTGAAATCTGCCATTAAATGAGTAAAAGGTGCTACGGCCTGAGTGAAATATACCAGTAGCTGAACATTAGTTTGTAAACTGTTACATGGGCTTTGAGTGACTTAAAAAGTATAAATTACTCAAAAGAACAGGACCTTAAGCCACACATCAGCTGGGAAAAAAGATCTATGAATGAAGTTACATGAATCTACACTGTCAATAAGGCTATTGTTGGCATCCTTCTGGAGTTAACATGTACCCCCTTTTTTAATTTGATTCACTTTTAAGCATGAAAAACCTGAAAAAAAAACAAGCTTTGTAAGTGAGTATTATAGCATGTACGCAAAGAACTAACCCTGCCAATATGGTGTAAAGATCTCATAACGCAATGCATTATGCCTTATTCCTGCCCACTTAAAACTGCCTGTTGTGTAACAGTGCTTAGTTACATTCACCCTTATACACATCACACACACCCACACACAGGGTGCTGAGCCTCTTGCATCCCTATCTCAGCAGTAAGTGCTCCAGTAAGGATATTCCACCATGGCCTGGATTCCATTGCGCTTGAAGATGACGATCCGCAGCACGTTGCCAATGGGGTTGCACACAGTGTACAAAACATCCTGCAACATGAAACAGACAACGATTAGGAGTCACATCAATGTCAAACGCTTCAAAATAGCACTTGACCCATACATACACATGAAGAGGGCTCAGCTCAGAATTTCACCAGTTTTTTTAAAATGTGTGTGTAATCACATGGTAAAGATGTGAATTAATTCAGTGTGTTTTAATGTTCAATGTGCCATGCTTGAGAAACTTTAAATTTACAGTGGTGGTGATAGGAACCAGATGCCTGAAGCGTTTTATGCTTCATAAAAATCTGTTACAAAAATGGTTACAAATGCACTGCCTGATGCCTGAGATGCTGTTTTGCAATAGTTATGAGAAAACACATAATTTTTAAAATCTATTTATGGTGGAGGGGTGCAACTGTTTTCTTCTGTATGTATATATGTTTGGTGTGCGCCCGTCCACCCCTCACTCGCGGCATTCCTCTCCCTGCCATCCTCGTCAGGCTTCGTCCCCGCCTAGAGCTCGGGCCCTGGCAGGACGGGCGCACACCACAATATGTTGTAGATATCACAACCTCTGGTTCCTATCACCGCCATTATAAAGAAATCATAGTGTCTCTACAGTGAACAATTTCACATTAAATCACTACGTATTAAAATAATAACATTTAGATTCTCATGATGCATCAAATCACATTCTAAAGGACTGCATTGCTTTGAAGTCAGAGATCTGCACTCCAAGTAACTATGGTCATGTTTTTTTTTGTGCCCTTTAAAACTCCACTAAGATTCAGAACAGAATGCAGTTGGAAGTAGCTCATCAGCTTGTTAATCAAGCTAGATGCTGTTCGAAACCCAGATCTATATGTCTAATCAGGCCTTGCTGTTCTCTCCTGAAAAGGTCCATGCCACTTAACATAGCAGCACTGCAGGCGGTGAGGATCTTTTAAGGCCCATTAACTGGAGTGCAGCCTTGATTGTGTCTGCTCAGGACACTGATCTATAGGAGAGACCTACGCTAAAGCAGGGGATTCTATTGGGGGTTGTTGAAACCAAAGGAATGGGAACTCACATAATGTTGATCAATGAGGTTTCGGCTGACTAGCCATTAGAGAGTCCTGCACTAGATTGTCACTGATAGTATTCATATTGGTCGGCTATCAATGGCAGCCTTGGGATAAGTGACAGAGGAGCATGTGAATGCTGGCTGATGATTAGAAAATGTTGCAGTTACCCTGGTGATGAAGCAATGTGTTGCTGGAGTGTGAGAAGTGCAGTAATGGGGGATTCCGGTTGCCACAGTAATGCGACAACGTACTTTCAATTGCCAAAACTTCAGGTCACAGGGATTTTAATCATTAAAGAGATATGTGATTCCATGAATTAAAGTACCCAGGTAACTGATTATGAAATATTTATGTTATTATGTGGTACCGAGTGGTTTAGGTGGCAAGGATACAATGAATGTTACCATAGTGATGAGGTTTACTATACAGATTTTATCGTAGTAGTCCTTGTGAACAGTAAGCTGAAGTGAACTTCCCATACAAGAGCAGTCTTGCTGTTTTATGCTAAGCAACTGCTACATGCATGCAAGATCAAGCCAGGAAATAATTGATCAAAACGGTTTGTGCTTTTGGTTCTACAAGCACAAACACCAAATGAGTATAAACTCATAAACCAAAAGCCACTTCCGTTTCAGAATTTTTCTTGCATGGGAGAGAAAAAAAAAGCCTTAATGCATCTAACAGAGTCTACTGTAACCACTTCATTTGCTAGTCAGGAAAACAATAGTGAATAACATGCATGTGGATTTTTGTGGATTTTGGAGAAAATGTGTTTTACTGTTGTCATGCATTCCTGCTTTGCCAGATCCATTACGACAAATTTCATAACTCAGAAATATTCCTGATATCTGTCTCAAACTTGTATGTGTACTTCCAACTTTTACATAAGTCAGCGAGGTCATTAAACTAATTGAACATGTAGTTTAGTATACTTAATTTACAGCATATTGCATTCCTCAAGAGAGATCTAATCATATTTTAGACGGAAGCAAACATTGTGTTATATTAGCAATACTGCCTGAGCGGGGACTTAAACCCATTCTGGACTGTATCATTACCTTCTATGATGATGACCTACTATGTTACATCAGCTCCACAGAGCATCACATGAATCCTTTTTTTTTGCTTTTACAATAACTCAGACTTGGTCTATCAAGTTATTAGTGTCCCTTATGGTTGACAGTATGTTTGTTGTTATTCAGAATAATCACATTATGCAATGTAATGCTTTCTTAAAGAGACATCATCAGTTCTTTAGTGGTGAGGTTTCCAATATCGTGGTGAAGCATGCAAATTGGAATTACCCCAAGAGAACTGAAACTATAGTAGCAGATGATAAGCCTGTCACCTCAATAAAGACATGGATGCAGTTTGACAGAAGTTTTGTGGTTGTATTTATGGAAAAGATTTGGGTGACTATTGACTTCTCATGCTTGCTAGCAACATTAGCCCACACACATTATATCCAGCACTAACCTAAAGAAGAATAATTTGGATACAAAACAAGTCTTAACTGACTACCTTACTTCCTGGGGTAAGTGAAAAATTGTGTAAATTCGATTTCTCGCCAAACCACTCATTTAATATTTCATGCAAGGCCCTAAACATCACAGCAATTCTGTATCGTAGGTTCCTGTTGCTATAGTAATGGGCTACAGTGGATCCTAGGAGCCATCATGATGGGGTGTAGCAGAGTCTAGTTACCAAAGTAATGAGGTCTAGAGACTTCTAGTTACCGTAGTGATGGGGTAGAGTGGGTTCTGAATGGAGAGCAGCAGCACTTTGTTTCCACTGTTGGGGTCATCTGCATTGGTAGGCCGGGTGATGCGTTTGCTGGTAGAGTAGTTGAAATAGGCCTGCTGTCCCGCAATGTACACGGCCTCGTTGGAGCCACATGCCACGCAGCGGTCAGCGCTCTCCACGTCCTCAAACTCCACCAGTGCCTGCCTCTTAAATGGCATCATCATCACATAGCTGCAAGAGAAGAAGAGGGATATACATAAGTAATGCACTTTGCAGAGAAGCATCCAGTTTCAGGCTGGAAAAGAGCTTGATTTTCTCATATCTTTTAAAGATAAAAGACTTAAGTATAGTCTGTCTGAAGGGGACAGTTATGGTGCTCTACTAGGTCATGTTTCTCTATATCTTTTAATTAATTTTTAAATTCCACTTATTTTTACTTGACTTTGCCCTCCTTTATACAAGAGGATTATCTCCTCAGATGTATATTCTAAAAATGAATGACTTGTACTTAATGGAATTTTGACAAAAAATCAAATAAATGAAGCATAGTCTCTGACTTCTGCACAGTATGTAAGCACTTACAGTAAAAGACCCATAGTTACAAGCATAGCAGTTAAAAACGTATATAGGCTAACCCTCTCACTCTCCACATATCTGCATTCATTAGAATATAAAAAGCTAGAACTAGATCACTCTTACTCTGTGAAGCATGACGAACAGGAGCTCAGATGGATTTTGAGTGAGAGCTGGTATGTTCCACATTGTTGATAAATGAAGGCTTACAGCAGTTTGAGGGCTTCTAATATGCATTTAGGCTCTCCTTCACATTTGAGAAAGCTTTATAAAACTGTTGAAATCTGCATGAAATCATTCTTGATTATACTAAATTGCACAGCTATCAGTCATTCTAATGCTTCAAAAATCAGTATCAGACTCTACAAAATGATGGACCTGACAGCAAACATGCCTGTGCTTTCTGAACATCTAAAATACCACAGATTTTTCTAAAGAATCACATAACAGAAGGAGGGCATTGAAGGGTATTTGGCAACGCAGTTCAATTTATTTACATCAGTACAATCACTGCAGAAAGAGACGATTTTCAGAGCAGTGCAGAGTTCCAGAACAAAAAGACTGCCAGAGATTCGAGGTCCTGAGATTAATATTCAAAAGATTATTACACAAAACTGAGAATGCCACAGTGTTCTCCTCTTTGGGTGAAGAACACTATTCACTGCCTTCTTATCATCTGGTATCCTAGATTCAACCTGCTTACATTAACCTTGGCTTATGCAGTGTTTAGCATTCTTTAAATTCTCTCAGTGAAAATACAGTTCTGCAAAGCACTATAACTTTAATACAATGTCACAGCAGACCCCCCCCCCACCCCCATAAGATGTTCTCATAGAGTCCTTTGTCGATGTTGCCACTGGCCTAAAAATACCCTGATGCGCTACTCTATTTCTGCTCAGCTGCACCGGAAAGAAGCACTGGGTCTAATCACAAGCTATCTGATACTTCGGTAGTATCTTCATACCACACTGACCTTAACCAGCATATTTGACAGCACTGCTGATCATGTGATACTGTAACGTTTCATCACACAGTACCTCACACTAGTTACCTCCACTTCCTGTATGTTTCTGTATCTCCAGAAATTATGTGAATAATCCTAATTTCAATGTAAAGCAGTCTTTGATTTGATAGACACTACATGAATACTGCATAGCTCAGTTATATGAATTTTGAGTAGTGCAGTCACTGAACATTTCAAAAATTATGCTAAAACTTTTCATGCACAAAATGACTGATTACGATGTTACACTATAAAAGAGAGTTACAGGGAAAATCCACTTTTTTTTTAAATTTCTGCAGAATTAAATGTTTAAGATGTAAACAGTCAGAGATGTCTGCTGTAAAATCCGCCATTCTAGAGAATCATACCAAGTCAGAATTGCTCACATTGGTGGTGATAGGAACCAGATGTCTGAAGTGTTTAATGCAGGGGTGGCAAATTCCTGTCCTAGAGGTCTGGATTCCTGTGCAGATTAGTGATTTTTCCCGCTTAAGCACACCTCATTCAACTCATCAGCTCATTACCAGATTTAGCTGGTGTGCTAGAGAATGGAAAACACCAAACTCTGCTAGACTTTGGCCCTGAGTTTCCCACCCCGGTCAAATGCCTTTGAAAGCTCCCTCACAAAAACTACTACATGTAATGGTCACAAATACATTGCCTGATGCCGAAAACACTCATTAACAATAGTTTAAGACACAGATTTTCTGAAAATCATTTAAAACATCCTCTACACAAAACAAACAAATATGGCAATGTTCTGCTAATTTTAGCACACAGTTTCTATTTATTTGTGGGTTTAACATGCTGGTAAAAAATAAAACATAACCTTTGAACAGCCCACATTTTATGCTTTTTTTTTTCGCTGGTCATTTTGGACAGTAAATAAAATGGCTAAATTTGTGCTGTGACCACTGGTTCCTAATAGTGAATTCATCACCATTTCCTGTGTGCAATATAATCAATTCTCCATGTGGAATATTTATATATATAAGATTTTTTGCTTTTCTATTTATAATGTTTATATTGTTAACTCCTCACCATTCCCATGTGTAATAAAAATCAGTACCCCATGTGAAATTTCTCTCAAATATCTTTAAAGTATAAATATTTTGCTTTTATTTATTTAAAATTCTTTATATTGTTCATTTTTGTGAAGAACAGAGTTTATATTTTTATATTTTTTCTTTTAGTTTTATATATTATATCTATAAAGTTACAAGTAACAAACTGTAAAAACCTTGTTAAGTAAATTACAAGGTTAATTACTTGCTTGTTTTTACTTGCTTGTTTTTTTATCTCTTTGCTGCTGTAACACTGAGAATTTCCTGTTGTGGGACTAATAAATGATTCTTATATCTTATCTTATCTTATGTTATCGCCACCATTGTAAAACCAGAACATCTGTAAAATCTGTAATCTGTAAGAGTCTGTGAATTTGCCTATAACTAACTTTTCACATCAAACCATTTTGAATTATTTCACATATCAGTGATTGAATTATGGAGAAACTTTCCACTTTTATGTGCCAGTGTTTAGATCAGTGGTCACCAACCTGGTCCTGGAGATTTACCTTCTTGACATTAGGTAAAGGAAGGCAGCATGTTAGATGCAGGCTAGAAATAAATTCTACAAGAAAATAGATCTCCAAAAGGAGGGCTGCTGACCACTGGTTTGGATCTTTAACTATGGTTCCCCTCTGGATGCTCTTTTTATAGTTCTAGTTAACACAGTGGATGCTTCCCACAAATAGTAATAAGCTGAAAATGAACAGTGACTGGCCTAAATACTGACATACTTCACAGACCCCTTCTCCTTCCGTAAACCAGAATGATCTTAATGTTCTCACAATTCTATAAATAAATACAATCAAGAAAGTTCAATCAAAACTCAGCACAGTAAGGCTTAACTGAAAGTTTATAAGGACTAAACCTTACAACTTACAGATTCAGAAGTTAGACACACAGAATCCAATTGATCTAACAGGATTGCACTTTCCAAAAGAGCACAAAGAGACATGAATGACATTCTTACATGATGTTACCTTATGCTCTTCTTGTGCTCCACTTTAATTCATTGACTTTGGAGTGAAAACACCCATGAGAGCTTGTGGTAGATTGAACCAGCCTAATGCTGTGGAATATACACTGCATTTATCACAACCTTATTAAGAGTTAATTGGTATTCATTACATCCAGCAGGCACTAGCTTCAAAGGACAAGAAATATCTTTCATTAGGAGTGGTCCCTCAATTATTCATTTGAGAGCTGAGTTTATCCTGAAGGTTAATAAACCTTTCTCTCAAACTTCACTAACAGTATATCAGTATAAACATAAGCTTTACAGCACCATTACCTACACTGTAGATTTTCTCTTTGACTGTATAAAGTGTTTTATGGCTTTAAAGGGGCTATAAATATTTAAAATATCTCAGTTATATTAAAGATTTGTGACTTCATAACTGTTAATCAAAGTTATATTTGCAAAATGTATGGTATACTTAACCATGAATCAAACACAGTTAAAAGGGAGAAAAACCTGCTACCTGATCAGGACCGTGTGGGCATTTCAGACCACTTGGTGACTGATGGTGGTGTGACCGCAGCAGCGAAAACAATCCTACAACAGTATCTTTTTTGTAGCAGGTTAGGTTTTGAAGTGATGGGTAATAAAATGGGCCTAGACTATACATTTTTTTCCAATTTTACCACTAATATACTATTATCAGAATTACATATAAAAACTCAAAAGACACGTAGATTCACCTTTGGATAATCAATAAAACGGCTATAGCTGCATTGCAGACAATGTGACCCAGAACTCCCGTCACCACCACTGTAAAGAAAATCGAAGTCTGTAAGCTTCTCCACAACGAACCACTTCACATCAAACCATTGAATTATTTTGCATATCAGTGATTGAATTATACAGACATTTTCCACATTAATTCCCCTTGAATGTGTCAGTGTTTTGATCAGTGATCCCCAACCCTGGTCCTGGAGATCTACCTTCCTGCAGAGCCTAGTTCCAACCACAAACTGCCTCACCTGCTCCAGGGAATCTTCTTCCAAGTCTTTGATTGGTTGAATCAGATACAGTAGTGCCAGGTAAGGGGTAGTTGGGTTTTTAAGTACTGGGTAATGAAGAAAAAAATTGCCATAACCTATAAAACTACTTAGGACCAACTAAGGAGGGTCTGGTTTGTGTGGGGCAGGGCTGTGGCCCCTTATTCTGGTCAACTAATAACCAACATGCTTTTTTAATTAGACATTCAACAGAAAATTCATGCAGGTCCCTGTAGTTAAAGCTGCACTGAAAAAGATTTTTTTCTGTTAAAATTGAAAGAAAAAGCATCACAAAAAACAAGCTAAAATATGTTGTGCGTGTGTTTCTACAAGTCGCTGCAGTAAGTTAAATCGCTGACTTTATCAAATGTTATTAACATTCATTGCAACCCTACAAGCTCTGCTGGTACGTGTCTTCTTAATAAAAATAATGTGTGGACGTGTTCTACTTCACTGATTGGATGGAAAAACACCTATGATTACTGTCATTGTTATTACAATAAATGCTTATGTAACATATATTTATACATGTTATTTTCATTGTCTCATTGTTATTATCTGCAGGACAGCACAGGAAACCGCATTTCTTTAACCAAATCTTCCTAAAAATGCCAGCAACTTTTAGGTCAACTCTTGTCAGTAAAAACCAGTTTAAACTGGACCACACACTGAACTGAGCTGTTTCAGTCTTAAAGGGGCCATATCATGGAAAACTACATTTTCCTGACTTTTTTTAATAATCAAAGAGATTGATGTACTATGAGCTCATTGACATACAGTATACCAGTCCTAAAGGCATAGTGAATTAAACAGGCTATTTTTGGTAAAGAGATAAACACACACACACACACATTTTCTAAACCGCTTATCCTTCCGGGTGGCAGGGGGTGCTGGACCCTATCCCAACTGTCATTGGACGGCAGGCAGGATAAGAGATAAACAGAGGTTCGAAAATGATTATGTATAAATGAATTATGACTGGTTTTGGTGTATTAAACCTCAAATACTTCATAAACTGGCCGGAGGGAAAACAATAAAATGTAACAATACTGTAAGATATGGTCCCTTTAATGCATAATGCAGTCTGAGAAAGTTTCCTGTGGCTCCGGACAGCTCACTAGCTAGCACGCTAACTTTTATACTCTGAAATAAATGCAGCTGAGACTGTCTCAACTTGGCCAAGAACCACTTGCTTTGATAAGAAGAGTCTGGTGAGAAAAAAGACTGTTTTTGTGTGAGATGCTTGATCTCTTTAGATACACTGATAGTGAGTTCTACTGGTGACCTGGTAGCATTTATCTCGGTAAAGAAAACTTTGCTTCTCTTCAGACTTACAAAACATACTTGCACAGAAGTGTGTGCTTTCCTTATAGAGGTAAAGGCATCCATTATTCAAATGCCTGTAGCATATTTTAATATTTTAATTACCAAATTTTCATTGCAGCCCTACAACAATCAAGAAAATAGGATGACAATCCCTTTAAGTGTACACACATGAAGTAACGCAGTATGCTTTAGTACAGTATAGTATATCAAATAATTTTTTACCATATGTTTCCAAACTTCTCCAAGGCCTCCACCAAATCAGCTTCCACCACTGATTCACAAAGCCCCCGAACATGGACCACGGGAGATGGGGCAATCCTGTGGGTCTCATCCCCGTTATCCTGTAAGCCAAGAGAGGAGACAGTTTAGCAGAGAAAACATAGCAAAGCACAGAAAAAGAGGTGCTCAACATTAATACTGTAGAGTACAACTGACGGAAACTGTTGAGTTTCAACTGAGGACAGCTCAAGAGCATCAAAGTGGAAAAGACTCTGCAGAGTGATGTGCGATGCATTAAAAGCTGTACAAAATAGTTGGTTATGTAAAAGAGTATGTGGTGAACCCTGCAGGGAAGAAAAACTGCATTATGGGGCATGGCCGTCAAACTGAAATCGTAGAAGAAAAGAAAATGACTACTAAGAGCACAAAAAACTACATTTCCCATGACTACTACATGCCTCACTGCACTACATGCTTGAGTCACCATCTTAAAATTGCAATCACCAAAATGACTCATGTGCATATAAAATTTTAAAATGTTATTAACTGCTACAGTACATGAACAGCTAAACGTGCCAAAAAAGTGTGAACAATGATGCACTGCTAAAAATGTAATCAGCTATAATCATCAGCATAAAGTTTACAAAACCATTTTGTGAACGTATTATAAATACTGCAGTTATCAGTTTCCAGCATTTATTTCCAGTTGATCGTCACAGCAATTACAGACCACATAAGGAGCCTTTTTCACCCAGCTCTCTTGTACTTTGCCGCATCCTTCGAGAAAACGCTTTTTCACAAAAGCACAAGCAGCTCAGAGGCAGCCAATTATGTCTCCTTGGATGTGTAACGCTGAGTGGCAGAGGAACGGGCCGCGGCATCGCTGGCTTTCTGTCCCTCTGAAACGCAGAGCTCTGCAGTAATGCGCCTTAGAGCAGTCAGCGGCAGCTCTGCTCTGCTTTCTTACACGCATACAAGCACCACACGCAAATGCTAAGCAAATCAGCAATGAGTCAGTAGCGTTCTTTTTACAACAAGAGCAGACTGCTTTACTTTCATCTCTTTATGTCAAAGAAATTTCACCCTCCCTACAGGCAGACTAACCTAATTCAAAGGTCACATATGCTAAATTTGGTTGATATGTTGCAACTTTAAGTACTCCTGGCTACAGGCCCCACATTACAGTATTATCATGATACCTGAGCCACAATACGGTTTTACTGCGGTAAGTCCCACGGAACACAGAGTACAACATTAAAAATGTATATGATACTAAAATTATTATAGCAAACATCCAGAAGCCTGAATGAGAAAAAGACAAAAAATGCAATAAAACACTCACTCAAAATCACATATTAGACCTGTCCAGGAACTGTCTGGGCATGGCCTAATATTATGAGTGATACGGGCCCTACACATAGAAGTGGTGTTGTAGAATCTGTGTCCACAACTCACTAAAAACATTATTTAGCTTTTATATGGCAATGTCTTAAAAAAAGGAGATAAAAAAGCGAAGGTTCCTTTCTGTTGGATGTACAAGCTTTCGCTTGGTTGTTAGCTTTCTCTCTGTAAGTTTCCTTGGCTCAAACTTAGAGATACTAAATTTTTTAAAGCTGTGTGGGCAGAAGGAGCCACATTAGGCTTGTGGCTTGGTAAGGGCTGAAGACTGGCTTACGAATGCATTAAACAAGATTAGGATTGCCCAGTTTACACGGAAAGAGGAGAATTTTGGCAAAACACATCGTCCATTTAGTGGACACTGGAAAGATAATCACAGGACATACTTTGTACATGTGTATTGTGTGCCCGCAAGAGCAAGATTAGATTACTTTTTAAGTAGGCTAGGTATCGCAGCAGATAAGCAAATGCTTATTTATTTGTTTCTTTTTAAAAACACACCTTGTACATTTAATAAAAGACAGCACAGATTATTTACACTGATTTTCTACATATTTAGATTTGCTCCAAAAAGTCAGAACTGTACACTGATGGTGATAGAAACCACAAGCCTGAAGTGTTTAATGCTCCTAAAAGCAACATCACAGGAAGCTGTTACATGAAATGGTTAGAAATGTGCTGCCTGATGCCTGAGACATTGCTTTGTTATAACTTTGAGATTGAGGTTTTGGCCTTACTTTTAAAATCCATTCGTGGAGAAGTGATGCATGCAGGGTGTTGTAAGGAAATACGGTACCCAAAGAAAATGTCTTTTTTCAGATTCACCATTAGTTTATCATTATCAACACTACACATTATCACTTTTGTATGTTCACTGGTGATTTTGGATTTTGGATAGCAAATAAAATGACTATATTTGCACTGTAGACAACCCCATTTGCCACCCCAGGTTCCTATCACCACCACTTTAAATGCATCCAAGTTTGTACGTTTCTCTACAACCCATGTGTCAAACACAAGGCCCATGGGCCAGATCAGGCCCGCCACACAATCCTATCCGGCCCTCAAAAGTATTTCAATTTTCTATTAATATTAGCTTGTTTCACAGTGCACTGCATTACAGTCCCCAGCATGCAGTGTAACGTAACATGCTCTGACTCTCCTACCCCAACGACAGTCTATGGAACGGCGGTTACACCTCAGTTCTACACAATTCTACATAATTCCACACCAGTCATATCACCAAACACACTAGCTGCATTTCAGCTGCTGTTCAATCAATATAAACACTCAACATCAGCTCAGAAATTGAGCCCAAGTCTTGATAAACTTGCAGCAAAGAAAGGATGTCAGGTGTCTAGTTCAAGCAAACAGGTAGGCTTAAAAGACTGAGCTACTGGGGACATTAAAATTTTGAATATTTCAAGTGTCCATGTAATGTTTCAAGGTCGGTCTGTATTTTACTGTTAAAGTTTTTTCATATTTTGAATACACAATGGTCAGTTCGGGTGATAGAACAACATTAATTAAAAATAAAATAAAAACATTTTTTTCTCTGGTGCACAGATTTGATGAGATTTTTTAATATGGCCCTTTTTAGTGGTTGAGTTCGACATCCTTGTTTTACAGGGAGATTCACTTGAAAGAGGCCCCAAATATTCTGTTGCAACTCCCGTTAGAATGAAGCAATCTGAACCAAAAAAAATACACCACATACCTTGACGTATGTGTTATGGATTGCATTACATGCGATGCTGGAAGTGATCTCCGTTTTCTGCCAGACACATGAAGGGGTTTGGGGGTATGCACCCAGATGTTTCAAACGGAGGTTAAACGTCACAACAGCTGTCCGGTGCCTACCTCATCGCTCTAACACGGGGGCATCCCGGCTTGTTCGAAGCTCCATATACTGAGGAGCACTTTGCATGTTGTTTCAGTCAGATTGCTTCATCCTAGCGAGAGTTATTACAGAATATTCAGGCCTTCTTTGAGTGAATCTCCCTGTACAGAGAACCATTTCACATCAAACCACTCTGTGTAAATCTCAACAACTGCAAAATGCACAATAATGCAAAAAATGTGGATTTCCTTTTGAACAACCATGTTTATTCAGAATAATTTTCGATGTCAGGTGAGTGCAATATTAGGAGTTGCCTTGGAGTCTTAAGCATATCATCCACTACACTATCCAACTATTCCTAACAGTAACTCCACTGACAGAAGTCTCACCAGGAAAAAACAGCACCATCTTCTGGATTACGCATAAACACATTTTGGTAATCTATTAGTCTGACAATGACAAAAAACTAAATAACAAAATATTGTGGCCCTCTGTGCATAGATACTATTTAAAAACTCAAAATGATATTACATTGTATCTCCCACCCTTACTGCTTGTCATCCACTGTCAAACTGCTATAAAAAAACATTTCAGGTCTAAAAATTTCAAGTCTAATTTTAATACCCGTTCCAATTCCAACACTAGATGCTTTCACCACTAAAGATGGAACGTGTTAGGAGTTTTAGTCTGCTTACAGAAACTCCCTCTGCAAGATAACATTAATTCCTCAAATCCTTCTGACAGGAAGGTTTCATATTCAGTCTCACATGAGCTTCTGTATTAAATTGACTTCTATGTGATGGATGCACCGTCTTGCTGTGGAAAAAGATAGGATCCAATTCTGACAGACTTTATCTTATAATAGTCTTGGGTGTATAAACATGAGACCCTAAATGGGGCCTGAAGACGGCTTTGGCAAAGCTATTATCCTCCAATTACAGAAGGGCATGAAAAGTCAAAATCTTAAAATGGTTTGCGCCTCACAGAAAGAGCCGGAAGAATTTGGAAGGAGGACAGGACAGCTCCGGTGTACTACTAATCTAAATTATAGGACATCCAGGAAGATATTTAAATAATGCTTAATTAAACAGTTCCCAGCCTCTACTAGTCCATCTGCACATCTCAGAAAGTCTCCAGAAAGTTGGTAATTAGTTAAACATCTAGGCCTGCTTTGTAGGTTTTTAGTTCAGAGGGAGTTTGAGACAGGTAAATGCCTGCAGGGCTTTTCCACTGCCAGAAGATAGAAAGCCTCTTAAAATTCAGCGGCACGCTCTCAGGGCTGAAATGCTGGCTGAATTCTGTTCTAGAGAGGAGAAGTTGCTCTTGTTCTTGTCTCCAGCACCCCCCAACCCCCATCCCCGTCAAATGTCACTTCTGTCTGCGGTTTAAACTGAGCATCTTCACCTTACTTCACACCACAGACTTTCAACACACTCACCCCAGCAAATCACAATAATGTCTCACTTTTCTTTCTTTATCTAGCGATCTCTCTTCCTTCATAGTCTTTTGTTTATTTCTTCTATCAAAAGGCCAAATTTTATCTGACAGAAAGCACTGAAATATGCTAACCATCAGCAAGCACTTGGTCACACATGTACTGACCACTTTATTAGATGTACCCACCCTTTATCTTTTATCTGTATTAATTTTATTAAGTCCACTTACCATATAGGGGCACTTTACAGTTCTACAATTAATGATTTTAGACCTGTTTCTCTGTATAATCTGTTGCCTTGTACATCAACACTCAGGACCCCCACAGGACCGCCACTGAGCAGGTATTATTTATGTGGTGGACTATTCTTAGTACATACGTTAGTGGGTGTCAACCAAAAATATCCAGCCAACAGCGTCCTGTGGACAGCATCCTGTCACCACTGACGA